TCACGCGTCATGGGACCGAGAAATGCCAAACAGCCTCCCTCAGTCTTGGACACACCCTGTGCGAACGAACCCTGAAAGTGCTCATTTCCAGAGCTCGGGGACTTGGGGATTGTGGTGAAAAGACAGTGAACCCGGAAATAACCCAAACACCCACCCCTACCCCCACCCCACCCCCACGGGGGCGACAGGCTCCCGGTACCCGCCATGTGGCCATGTGGTCGTAGGAATGGCCGCCACACTCAACCTCCCGCCCGGCGGGGAGCATGGGGGCTGACACCAGAACCGCTGAGAGACGTTAGGACAACCTCAGCAGACAGGGCAGGGGCTGTGCCCGGGCGGTGGCCGCGCAGGTGCGCACACCTGCAGGAGCGAGCCAGGTTGCACACTCCCGCCCTGGGCCTCAACGGGAAGTGGGGACATGCTTTCAAAGCGGGCAACTAGCTGGTCCAACAGTCCGCTCCCTCTGGAAGCAGCCGGGCAGGCCGCCCGGGGCTCCAGGAGGAGCGCTGCGCGAGGGTCAGAGGGCAAACACGCCAGCTTTCTGTCCCGCACGTGCGGTCCTGCCCCGACCACACCGCTGTGCCCACAGAACAGACACACTGCACACCCAGAGGCCGGCCTCAGCCGACAAAGCTTTATCCACAAACAGGCAGGGCCAGACGTGGCCTCTGGGCCGTCGTTGGCTGCCCAGATATGCATTCCTGGGACCAGGCAGCTGACACAGCCGAGTCAAGAGGGGGCTCTGGGGCTCCCGCCCAGAGGGTGTCAGCACACCCGGGCCCAGCCTCTTGGTGTCTTGGTTTCCTCCCCTGGAACATGGAGACGGGAAAGTGCCTCTGCCGTTCCCTGCCTCGGGACTCGGGGCCTCGCACACGGCATCCCTCCAGGCCCAGCCCCGGCCCCCAGCTGAGCTCCTGGATTCGGCCCTCCCGGCCCTGGCCCTCTGTCACCTGCATGCAAAGGCTCGCCCGGAAATGATCAAAAACTGACTCAATGAGTCGAGCGAACCGCTCACCCAGTCTTGGTCTGTCGGGAAGCAGGTGAGATGCTCACAGGTAAACGCACGTGGCCATGTGGCTGCCATGCCCACCGACCTCCCTGCTCTGTGACGGTGACCCCCAGACCTCAGCCGTCTCAACGGGGAACCGGCCCTGCCTCCAGCGGACAGCCGGCCCGCGCAGGCCCCAGGCCCGCACCCACGGTTCCCGAGGAAACGACCGGAGGCCCCTCCACACTCCTGGGCTGGACTCTCACACGCGGAGGTCCAGGGACTGCCCGAGGCCGCACGGCCGGCAGTGGGGCCCCCACCCCCGGCCACTCCTTTACCCAGAGCAGCACACGGAGCCCAGCTCGAGCACTGCCCCCGGTCGGTCTGGCCGGTCCCTGGGGAGGGTGCATGCCTGCACCACTGGGCGAGTCAACAGGCCGCGCGCGGACGGCACCACAGCCACATTGATCCAAGTGGCACATCCACGCGTCTTTCCACCCAGAAATCCCAGCCCCACAACATGGCAACACAAGAACGCCGAAGGCAGCCGTGTTTGTGCAGCTGGTCCCGCAGAGCAGGCCAGCCCACACACAGACTGCTGCGCTCGTTAAAAACAGTGACAAATCCTTTCCGTCCCCACAGGGTCTCATCTCTGGGACTCAGCCTCGTTTCCCTATGAAAAGTGGGTGTAAACGGCGCACGGCAAAACCACGCTCTCTAATATACGGCTCCGATTCCGACAGACAGGGCATACGGCCACTGAGATCCATCAGTGCCCGCCCCCCCCGCCCCCGGTGCTGCCTGGTGCTCGGACACACAGGGCCCCGCAGGAAGACAGAGGCTGCGGACGCGGCTCTGGGAGCGAACTGGACTGGTGCAGAGGGACCGACATTATGCACCTGCTCAGGCCTTCCAGGTCCGTGACTCCTGGAAGGAGTGGCCACGTCTTCAGAAATCCTAAGACGTCATGTTCGTGGCCACGAAACGAGAGCAATCTTACAGGGAGATGGAGACTCCGGCTCCTCCGGAAACGGGTCGGCCGCAGCCTGTCCGGAGCTCCCGCCCTCACGTCCCAGCCGAGCCCCCCGCTGCCGCGGGCACTGACCTTGTAGACGTGCCGCCAGTTCTTGCCATGGTCGTTGAGCCGCTTCCAGATCATGCTCATGATCTCCGAGAAGGCGACGACGTTGTAGGTGAGGTCGGCGATCTCAGACATGAGCGAGCTGGACGGGCCCCAGGGGTCGTTGCTCGTGGCCTCGCGGACCTTGATCTCGGCCTCCGAGTAGTTGTGGACGATGTTTTTCATCTGGCGCCGCAGCGACGAGGTCGACATGGTGGCCGGTGGTGGTGCCAGGGGCGGGCCCCCCGGGGCGTGGGCAGAGGGGGCAACTGCAGGAGGGAGGCCACCGCAGGGCTGGCAGGTCACCGCATCTGAGGAGAGGAGGGGCCTTGGAAACACACGCGGGACCCGGGGCCGCCCAGCCCGGACCCCTGCCCTCGTGGGCCCCATGCGAGCCGCGGGAAGGACGGGGTCCTCGGTGACTGCGGAGGCTGTGGCCCTTGCCCCCCTCCATTTCAGTCACCCCGTCCATTTCGGTTCCTCAAATGTGCCCAGCTCCTTCCTGCTCGGGGCCCCTGCTCACCGAGGCAGAGCGAGCGGTGACAGACCACGGCCCAGGGACACACCCAGCTCAGCACTTCCTGGCCGGCCACCTGGGTGGGCTGAGGACTCCCGCACCTCAGTTTTCTTCTCTGTAAAATGGGGCCCCACTGGTAACTCAGGGAGCTGTGCGGACCAGGGCGCGGGAGGCAGGCTGCCCGTGTGGGCAGTGTCCGGAGCTGGTCACCTGCCCTCCCTCTCCCTAGTCACCGGTCCCTCCCACTCTCCCCCAGGGCACCACGTCCCAGACCTTAAACAGCAAATGCCAAGGCCTCTGCTGGGAGAGCCTCGTGGGGCACCTTCGCCTGGTGACTCTGTACCCATGTCTCTGGGGCTGAGGCCCCCCACCCGCCCCGGGGGCAGAGGCCTCTGTCTGGACACTGCTTTTCCCATCAGAGGGGCTGGCCCGGAAGAGCCTTTCAATAAACTGGAAGGAAGGGCAGGGGGAGGGCAGGAAACACCCCTGGAGCAGGGTGGAGGGGCAGAATCGGAGGCGAGGGAAGGACAGGCTCGGAGGAGGCGGAGGAGGCGGAGGAGCGGGGAAGGGAGTGAGAGGCCAGGCTCGGGAGGAGAGATAAGGCCAGCTCAGCCCTGGGCTGCGGCCTCACTGGGAGCCAGAGTCCATTATCTCACTTAACACCTCAGGGCAGCTGTGTTCCCACAGGCGCCTGCCTCGGGCCAGGGGAGGTTAAGGGGGCCGGCAGGGCCCCAGGAGTCATACCTTCCAGTGGAGACCAGGCTGCCGGGAAAGAATGGGAAGGGCGAGAATCGGCAACGGGGACAGCCCAGCAGCCCCTCCCCGGCCCTGACCCTGACCCTGACCCCGCGCCCGGCGCTCCTCTAAGTGCTGGGCACACAGCAAGTCAACGAATCCTCGCGAGCCCGGGCACCTCATGGGGGGAAACCGAGGCCCAGGGCGGCCGAGTCCCTCGCCCCAGGACGCAGGCCTAGCTGGGAGCAGCCTGGCTCTGACCACCACCACCCATCGCTTCCGCAACCCATGACAGGCACCCGCCGAGCCGCCCACGACCTGAGGCCCGGGCACTGGGGGGAGATGTGAAGAGCAGAAGAGAGATGGCCGCGGCCCACAGCCAGACACACCAGGACAAGAGATGGAGTGGGGAGTCCGAGAGGAAAGGGAATCAGCGAGACAGGGAGAGAGGGACAGGGAGAGCAGGCAGGGGGGCTACCAGACGCGGTGACACGGGCAAGGACCCAAGGGGACGCGGGTACAGAGCCCCGGAGAAGCGGCGAGGCAGGGAGAGAAAAGCAACCCGCACAGAGCAGCAGCAGTGACCTGGGGCCCACAAACCCGAGACAAGGAAGACGGCATGTAAGAGAGAGGGGGGAATCTGGGTCCGATCCTGACCACCTGCTCCCAGCAACCTCCGCGGGGAATCGCAGGAGATACCCCTACCCCGCAGGCCCGCGGGTGGCTGAGACAGGCCCCTCCAGGGCCGGCCGGTGGCTGTTCTCAAAGGAAACCCAAGCCCGTCCACGAGGGGGCATCGGGCATCGGAAGACCTCCGGCCCCGCGCGCTCACAGCGAAGCGCATCAGGAAACACACGACCAGCTCGCTCAGGTCCCCCACGCTGCTTAGCACCAGACTAAGCTCTACAAAAAGTGGGGGAACCGCTCCATTCAAGAGGGGGCAGGACAAAATTCTCCAGGGGGTACCGGCCCCTCAAAACGACCGACATCGTACCGGGCAGGACAGAGACCCCGCGGCCAATGACACGCTTTCTACCTGCCGGACAGTGGCGGGCACGTCACCGG